GAAGCATCTTTGTACCCAATACTGTGAGTTTGTAGCTATAGAGATTCATCTCCATTGTTGGTATGCTTCTGTCCAACCTCGTTTTGCTGGCCATTCTGTGCTCCATCCTTATTCTTATCATTTTCAAAGCCTCTTTTTTATCATCTTGACATACTTGTCATCTCGTGATGATATTCTAAAGATTTTCTCTTGTCATAATTAAGAGTTCTGTCAAGTTATTCTTCTTTTAGTTAGCATTTCTTTCGACTTTTATAGCAGAAGTTAGAGGGATATGATTGATGGTGGGTCATGTGGTTTCTCTTGAATGTATTCCTCCTTCAGTTCGCTTCATAGGTTATTTATGTAAAAACAATTCTAAGTCACTGAGAGTGGTTGCCGTTTCTGTTTGTATTTAAGTTAGAGCAAATCTTTTGACCATTCTATTTCTCACACAATGCTGATCTACTACAGTACCTAAAAGATTGTTAGCAAGTTTTTCAAAATTATCCACTCTTTTCTGCTGTTCTAAAAGATCTCCTATGTTCTTAAACATAGGTGGTTGGGACGGATGAGGCAACAACTTGCGTAGGCCTTGTCATAAGGAACCAAAACAGTGGAATGTAAGAGGAACTATTTAGACAAAAAGACATCACTAAATTGCATTCAGGTGTTCAAGTCTAACTATTGTGATTGTGACTTCGCTACAGTACATCTGTTGCTCACTTGGATTCACCAGATGTTGTTGATATTGGCCTGGCCCAGATGTTGGCTTTTGTTGTCAATCAAAGCTCTGATGCCATGTTGGATGTATTCTTCTCTAATCCTTTATGTTAAACAGCATTAGTAACTAGCTTCTTTTTTGTTCTCTATTTTTTTTACTGTTGATGCCGACATTGGAAGTGTATAATATGCAGGTTCATCTAATTGGTGGTTTTGATGATGCCTCGCCTGAAGTCAGGCCAAGATCCTTCTTATTCTTTGATTTTCACAGAGATAGTGAGTCATTTAGAGGTTAGATAATGAAGCTGAATCTGTTGGACTTCTTGTGCAGCATGTTAATGGTATTACAGAAAGTCACGGAAAGTTGGAGGGCTATTCCTTTCCTTTGTGTAAGAAAATAGTTGACAGCCTGGCAAAGAGTAATATGAAGTTCCAGATTCACACACTCCATGTTCTTGGCCATAATACAAGACGAGATACTGAAGGAAATGCATACCCCATCTTCACTGGTTTCCTGGTAAGCTGTATTTTGTATTTCACATTAGTTTATACCGTTGATTATTACAGAGCAAGGGAGGGAAAACTTAGTGGTAAAAGTCCTCCCCCAATCTTAAGGTTTAGGGTTTGAATCAATAATGATGAAAAGTGGGAAAGGACTGTCGCTATTTGATTCCTGGTTAGGGAGTTGTCATTCCAGTACAGTCGTTACAATTCGACATTCCAAGTTGCAATACCACTTCTGAGCTACTAGATAAATCATATACATTTTCTGAATTATTTTTTCTGTAGACATAACTCGTGAGGTATCTCTAAGAAATCCAAGTTCCTTAGACGTACTGGTTAAAGCCTGTATCTGGACCTTGAGTGAAAGACAAGACAATTGTGTGGGACAAAGTTGCGAAATTCAATTCTTTTGGAGGAGCTAACTTTTTCATTTTCTTACTTTTTAATGGAAGTTGTTCAGTAGTTAAATATCATTTATATTTCTCTTATCCTAAAGTGATCTCCAGTTTTTGGAAAGGGAAGTCAAATTTTGACTTAGTGCCTATGACAACCAGACGTGGATTTTGAATTTGGACAGAACATAATATACATATTCCAGTTGGTGCCATTATTTGAAATTAATAGGAAGCCATGGAAGCATGTTTTGATATCCATTATGTGAAACTGAATAAGATAAAAGAAGAATAGAGCTTGAACCATAGATTAAAAAATCTGGATAGTTTTTTTTTTTTGTTCTACATTAATTGGACAGGTTGCTCTGGTTAATTACTTAATTCCACGAACTGAGAGTGAGAGGTAGGGTTATTCGTGGTGGACCTTAAGAAAATATGAGAACCACCTGGAACTTCTTACTGACTGCTAACCCAGGTGAGAGACAAACAATAACCAGTTGGAAAGAATGATGCCAAATAAGACCATATTTAGTTGCAAATATAGCTTAAATGTCAAAGTTACCGATTTCAAAAAAATATTGCTTAAATGTCTGTGCTGGCGAAGATCAGCGGTCATCTCCTTTGACTAATCATAGTAGTGTGACATCATTTTTCCTTGAGGGAGGGGAACTCATTTATAACGTGAGGGACTCATTAACTCACAATTGACCTGCTGACTACACATTCCAACAGATGTTGATTGATTTATATTACATTACTCTAGGAACATAAGACTTTTGGATTTTACTTTGAATAAATGAACTGTTGACTTTTTCTACGCCAATTCTATGGCTATCATATCATTTGGATTCTTGAAACCAAATGGCCATCTGCACAGTGAGATGAATTGGTTGAAGTTGAGCTCCTTGCTTGTGTTTTTCTTTTGGCTTTGTATATTTATTGGTGCTTGATGCTCACCGTTAGTATCTGTAATCAGCAATCAATCTGTTTGACATTCCTGTCATTTGGCACAACCGTAAATAACGTCTGTTATCTAGTGAACTGGAGACTGGCAGGTGTATCTATCTTAGTTGAAATACATGCTTAAATTAATCTTTCAGATCTACACTAACAAATTTGCAGTGAAGTAACAAGTGTGAGGTTGCATTTTACTTGTCATCCTACTTTCTCTCTTTGCCGTGATTCTGCTTAGTATTATTAGGGAAAAGTGGGAGCAGACAAAGAGATTGCAGACTTAGGTCAGGAAGGCACATTATTCATATTGGGTCCTCAGATGTATATAACAGAAACTCTTGATCCTTAATTCTGGATGGATGCCAATCTAGTGGTTGGTATTCATGATGCATGAAAGGGAGAGAATTGCGACTACTTACATGGTTTTAAAATGCACACACGTATAGATGGAAAGTAAATATTAATTACCGTGTCCAGGAGAAAGAGGTATTGGGTTTTCATTTCATTTCTTAATGGTACGGTTGAACACAGGCAGGCTATTATGAGTTACCTACCCATTCTCTGTGTGCCTCAATCAGCTGATTACCAATACTTTCTGTTTCTACTCTCTGACAGAAACGATTTGTTGGAGCAGAAATTTCTCAGTATTCTACGGATCTTCTTGGATAAAGATTCTTAATTCTTTTTTTTCCAAATTCATTTGCTCAGGCGGAAACTGCCACTGGGTCTATTATCCCGGCAAACTTTGATGCAACAACAAGATGTCCCGACGAAGTTGTTAGGAGAATACGAGTATCTGCATCTTTTGAGGACCCAAGTTGGAAAGGAAGATTACTTGAGACATATGATACTCAGACTGATCAATTCGTGATTGCTCCATGCACTTGGTAAAACTGCTTACTTTGGATTTTCGTTATTTACTCCTTATGGCATTACCTCGGGGTGTTTATATATCTTATCCTGTCATGTTATTTCTCAGTTTGTTGTCTTAATTCTCTGAAGTTGTCATCTATATTTCTTATGTTTATTTCAATTTTATTTAGATGAATGGTGAGAACAATTTATAGTTACACAATCATGTTAACTGAGACACTAGTGAGCTTACAAGAACTTTATCTAGCTTCATTGGGAAAATTGGAACAGTTCGTATTAAAAAGAAACGTTGCCATCAAATCCACGATCTCTTGGTTACACTCTTTTTTTTTGGCTTTGCCACTTGAGCTAGGCCTCTTTGATCTTTTAAACTTATCTCTTAATGGACTCCATTTTTTATACCATAGGGACATGCGCAAGATGCATATTGCCCTCATGTTACAGAATTTATCTGACCAGGAAATCCTTCTTACGTGTTCCACCTCTCCTTCTGCTGAGGCTCCAGATTTCGTGGATAACCATAGAAGGTACTACAGCATTTCCACAATTACGACACTTCAATCCCTTTCCAGGATCACGGATTTGTCAGCGTGCTAGCCACGTGAGACATCATTTTAACAAATTCTTTCCACAGGCAGTGGGACTATTTAATCCAACACCCAGATTGGAGTGAAACATTCCCTTTCAAAAAGCCACGTATATTTCAAAGGACAGAAGATAAGAGTTGGGTGAGGCACCAAGCAGCAAAATCTAGCAGCTCATCTTATCGATACGCTGATTAAGGCTGTTTCGTTCAAGGGACCATCTAGGGGTAAAGGGAAGTTGGCGCGTGTTATGTGGTAAGTACTAATGTCTCTCTTAAGGTTATTTGGTACAACGGAAAGGGGTAAAAGTGCGTTAACTTCCCAGTTTCCTTCCATTTTTACTTGGGTTAAAAAGCTCAAGGGTGATATTTCCCCTCTCCAACTATTGCAGGTTAAATCAGTTGTCTGAAGCGTCTTGCTTCTGTGGTGAAGTGCAGGAGTCAGAGTCACAGCTAAAACTTACCCGTTAAATATTCTATTGATAAATAAAAGCTTGAAATGATGAGGCAAATTCTTAATTAGATTTTCCTAGTACATTGCTTGACAGGATAAAGGTAACAGTGACTTCTGTTCACATGTTCTCCATTGATGAGCCAAAACTTGAAATGCTTACCAATTTTCTTGTCAGTTTGTCTTATTATTTGTTTGATACAATTAATTGGTTTTCAGATAGTATCACGCAACATGACAATTCTTGAACTAACTAAAAGGGAGGGAGGACCACCATTGTAAAGTGAAAATATAAGTTTACCTATTAAAAACAAAGAAGATCAAATTTAAGTACAAGGGTCAATCAAACTATTTAATTTTTTATGCGAATTCAAGCAAACAAAACTTCACAAATAGTTGATAATTCAAACATATATTTGGAAACTGTAGTAAAAAAGAAACTACCTTGCTTTTCCCAAATAGTAGTAGTGCGACATAGAGGGGAAACAAGAGGGATACTAAATATTCATCATGGTTAGGTGCTAATCATAGCTAAAAAGAGATATAAAAAGGATTGTACTGAGCTCTTTTGACATTTCTCAATTTTGAAGCCCAATTATTCTTAAGCGGCAGTAACAATATCCTATCTAAGGACTCACATAATAAAAGTGTTTTCCGGTCACCAATACACAGATATGAAATACCTGGGCAACCCCCATCCTAAACGGATATATATTACACTAATACAGCACAGACAGTATCCTTTCGACGTTTATCCTTGTACTATCTCCTATTGGCAAGCAATATTTTTGCTAATACACAGTATGAATGCCATGAAATCAAGTCAATGGCTTCTGCAACTCACTGGGCCCATGAGCAAAATGGCATTTCTCTCCAAATGTGCACAAACCTTTTGAAAAATTCGCGCACATCTTTGTTTTAAGTGGGCCAGGAGGATCTCGAGTAAATGGGACAGCTTTCTTCAGCCCTCCTGTAGGTGTACTGATATTCGATATGAGCTCCTTACCATGGCACTCGCCTGATTAATCTGATCAAAGGTTCCTTGGAGTTCAACATTTCTTTTGTTAGTGTCCGTTTCCTGCTCCTTTATAAAGAGCTTGACACCAGTAACCCGACATATGTGTTTTGAGTTCACACCATTCTTCCCTATGATGTTTCCAGCAAGAGATGCATCTATACTAATGGTAGTTGTTGCAGATGCTCCAAAGTTTGTAGCAGCTAGACCAGGTTGGGACGGTTCAAGGTAGCCGGAGAACCCACTCGGAGGACCTTTGGCTTGGAAATCATCATACACTGGACGCACTTGCTTCCCAATCTCCATCTCACCATGAGCAAAGTGGCACTTATCACCAAACCTGCACCCTTCTGCAGTGTTGAACTTGCTGCAAAACTTCGATTTCACAGCTGGACCAGGACCATCACTAAAAGATGCACTATTCCTTCCAAATGGAGGTGCTGGGTTTGAACCCATGTTTGATAGCTGGCTCATAGCAGTGTAGCCAGGAACATAATGAAGAAAGTGACATCCCGCCCCAAATGAGCATCCAGATGTGCTACACCACATCAAGAAAATGATTGTTAGCGTAAGCACAACTGACCAACCAAAGAGACAGGCAAATGGAGCCAAGAAAAGAGAACACACTGGTGTAAGTATTGTTATACGTCAGCGTGTTTAGAGTATTAGCTTTCTCCCTTCCTGTTTTACAAGCTCATAACATTGTTTGAGCAAACACTACCTACTATTACATACATAGAGTGATTGCTATTAAGCTATCATGGCACTAGAAATAAAATATTGCTATCTGAAATAAGATTACCACCTTTAAGAAAACCTGTCTATTCAACATGAACTTACTGGCGACTGCGAGAGATGATTGAAAACTAATATACCAAGTAATAGTGCTAAAAATATTTATCACTAAACAATGACCATATGAATATCAAATGAGCTTATTCCATAATTGTAAGGCATGATACACGAGAAACCAACACCAGAATCATTAATCTGGATGCCAGGTAAATCAGCTCATAGATCAACTGCTTTCTGATTACTTGAAATTAGAAAGAGAAAGTACACGAGTAACTTCAGCCTGAACTAAATAGATAAATTTACGGGGTTCATTCTTCATCTACATCGAATTCTTGATGCTAAACGATTCCATCTCAAAACATAAATCAGATCTATTAACCACAACTCACAAAGACGAGTTAAAATTACAATTTCAAATGAAGAATAGTCCAACACACGCACAAGAAAAAAGTACAAAAAAGTTATGATGCTTCCAGGTTTGCATGATTGGCATATACATAACATTTAAGAAATGTTTGATGTTAGTTATTATATATGGTACAACAGCAGCAATGATGACGTCGACCACACCATAACCTCAAAATAGTTGAGGTAAGGTTGTCTATGTGACTTTTATATCAATTCCATTAGGAACAATTTTATTTCAATACTTACGATAACTAAGGGTTTGTAACACTAGATGTTCTAAACATAAATACACTTGTCCAACATTGACATACAGATTTGTGAACACATGACCTAATGTAAGTTCACTAAAATAGTGTTCCCCATATTGGAATGATACAAGTAATGGTATTTACCAGGCAAAAGTTCAGCTTACCTACATCCGTTGAGCATTAAACCCTACACTCATTTCATATAGACTCCATATCTACAATGACAATATCTCTTCTTCTTTTTTTGATAAAGTTAACATTATAACGACAGTATCTTTTTGTCCATATACCATTTATGGACTTTTCGATTAACAGTATTAGCTGGCTAAGAAAAGAAAATTTAGTGTTTAATCTTCTTGTCGTTATTGAAGAAGTTGAATTTTTAATGCTTGTATTGTACGATAAAGAACAGTTATGCCAAAACACTACAATCTTAGTATGAGAACTAAGTGGTTTTGTAATGTGCACTTTTTTGGTATTAATAAAATTGATCAGTTCGACCAACAATAAAAAACACTACAATCACTGAATAATTAAAATGAGGAAAACAATTGTACCAAGTTCATATACCACCCCCAGAATCCCAGATGTATTTATGACTTCCAGTACTATCAGTGTAGTTGGTTACCAGACAGTTATGGTTCTATTAGAGAACATTGTCACTAATTTAGTCCAGTAGCTAAAACCTAGCATATAATCCAAAACAATATGCATTGTTAGAAGCTCACAACACAGGCATAGAGAATACAGTAATAAAGATTAGGTTTAACAGAGATTATATAGAAAATATGGGAAGTTTGACGAGTATCAATTTCAGGCTCTATTCACACACATCCACACTCAACCTCAAACTTGAAAAACATCTTCCCACGACATATCTTAGATAAACAGTGCTAGATCCAACACTTTGGCTTGAACATCCTCAATGGTATAGAAATTTTCTATAGGGAACCTGTGAGTAAATACAGCTGATTGAAAATGTCGGGAGAAGAGTGCTTGTTTCTTTCCCTCTTTTCCCTCTTTTTATTTTTTATGAGCGAGAAATAGTCTAGGGCCAACCCTTAAGACCAACAGCAGCCTTCGAAACTAGGGGATAACAGGTCCTCCCCTCTATCATTCTCCACTTGAATACCATGCTTAGTTTGCAGGCACAAGGTTCGAACTTGTGACCTAAGTCACAACTCACAAGTCCCTCAATTTTGGCCACTTGAACTAAGCCCTGGGGCTTCTTTTTTACATTCATGATGACATGATATGTATTGCTCCAACAACATTTGGATTTTTCTTTTACCATCACAATCTTGTCATTCCAAATGTTATGGTTCAAGCATTACAAAACATTATAACATAAATGAATCAAATTGAGAAAACTTGTTTTTGATAGATGAAGCATGAAACCTGTAAAACTTCATGCATGGCTTTGATTTGCTTCCTACACCAGTCGTAAAGGATTCTGATTCTGTTACAAAAGATTAAATAGTTCTCTTTAGTTCATAATTTCCGGTGCATTAGCAATTACGAATATATATTTAATAGAATCAACTAGTCACACAGTACAATGCTGCAAACAACCCAATTCTCATTACAAATTCCAAAATCACCTAACCCTTAACTGTATCATTAAGCAACTCCCAAAACTATAAAGATGATCACTTTTATCGAGCTTTTACAACAAAAAGGCTTAGAATACTAGAATTAGTGCAATCGAAGTAGACCCAGAAAGAGAAAACTAACCATCTCTTGATTTCTTCATGCCTCCACTGCTACCGAAAGCACCGCCTACTCTTCTCTTCCTCCCAAACTCCATTATCGGCCGTTACACAGTGAAATTGAAGCAGATAAATACACCCAAAAATGAAAGAATTTAACCAAAACAAAAGCACTGGAAAATGCTAGGGTTTTGGTTTGGGCAGAGAGAATTGGGCGATTAAAGATTGAGATTCAAAATTTTGCAGCTTTAGATCCGCACCTGAATGTGTAATCCTCGTATTTGTTCCTTCACGGACACCTAATAAAACAAATATAATTAGTGAACTAGATGTATTAATAATAATTGCAATTAATTATATGTAGTAATTACTCCCTCCATTTCAAAATAAATAAATTAGTAAGTCAATACACACCTATTAAGAAAAAATATTTAACAAGTAAATTGAATACCAATTTCTACTTTTGTCTTTTTAGTTATTGTCAAATTATTTTTAAAATATAAATAATTCAAAGTATTTATTTTTGTTACTAATATGAATAATTAATTCTCTTAAAATTATGACCTAAAAAATGTCAATGAGAGGTAAAAAGGAAAGAAAACAACTTGAACTTTAAAGTTCGAACAACTCACTTATTTTGAACTATAAAAATAAATCTAATAATTCACTTATTTTAAAATGAAGAAAGTATATTTTTATTTATTATCATTTTAGTGTATCAGGGATAATTTGTCTTAAATCATGTCTATTTGTGTACTGATAGCCTTTGTTATAAACTTATAATATCATGGTGCGATGTGTATTAAGCTGAACATTTAGGCTTTAGCCAAATAAAAAATTAAATAATACACATCTGACACATCTCATGAGCTATTTCGCATGTGATAGTGTATATGAATAATACTTTCTGAATTATTTTACATAAAATGTATTAGTAATATTAAAATTAATGAAATACATATCATCTATATTGATATTATTCTAATTTATGAATTGATTTGATTTATATTAAAAATAATATGTTCTACAAAAAATTTAAGTTATACATAATTAAATTGTTTAAAGAGTTATTTGATACTAAGACGATTATGAAATATTAATAATATAAAAACTATCATATTGCCAGAAACAATAGAATCCCAAATTGAATGATTGATATTTGATAGTAAGCAATAGGTCTAAAAGATTGGATGATTTGACAAATACCTATTTTAGGATTAAACTGGAGTATAATTATAATTTGAGAAGTAAATAAAATAATTACAATTTAATAAAATAATTTTTCTATTCATTTTTACTTGTCATATTTTTTTAGAAAATAACAAGTGGATTATATATTTTACTATGATATTTATGTATAGGATAAACATAGTGTAAACCCGTGTGAATGAGATTACAACACGTGAAAGACAAACAGTATTACTTAATAGATAGCAAAATAGAACTTGACGACAAATTAACTTGATAAAGTGGTTGAAGCTCGAACATGCACTGAATAATAGCAAATTTTGTATATAAATCATGCAACATTAAAGACAAACAATATTGCTTAATAGATAGCTAAACAAAACTTGACAACAAATTAATTTGATAAAGTGATTGAAGCTCGAAAATACATTGAATAATAGCAAATTTTGTATATAAATCATGTTAACATTTTCCATGTAAGGACATGAGAGAATATATAATAAAATTGTTTTACCAGTCAAAAAGTTGTACTACTATTTCTATATTGTCAAGTAACTCATGCCAGCTACGATGTATTTATAAGTCATTAGGCTCAGCTTAATTTTTTATTTTTTACGTTCAGTATTATTTGTTATTTTATTGCATTTGATCACTTTAATTCTCTTAGCATTATAACCTCACTTACAAATTCAATTGCATTTTTTAGGGTAAACAGTGATATCAATTAATATATAATTTTTAATAATTATACAATATAATTTAAAATAAATAATTAATGTTAAAAATAAAATACGTAAAATTGAATAGGGGAGTAACAAACACCCGCTTCTTTCTTCTTTTCTGATTTTTATGTGAATATGGTTGAAATTGCACATTATGCTCATATTCATTTGGTAAAATGCATAAAAATATTAAGTGCATCCTTGCTATTGAAATTATTTTTTTATTATACTATTTAGATGGGTGGATTCAAGGATAATTTTATCTTTAATGATGCCTCACCTATGTATTTCATTTGTTCTAAAATAAGTGTCATTTTAATTCATATCACACTCATTAAAAAAATAGAGGATGTAATTTACTAAATTACACATATTTATTAGATTTTTTTATTTTTTTTAATTGAGCATTATTAAGAGTAGCAAATCTTTAATATAGCTGATTTGAAAATGAGTTGTACAAATATTAAATCTTTCATAAGTAATACCATTTTTGATAGGTCACTAAAAGGTAAGTTATTCATGTATAAAATACAGAAATTCCATACACTTGGTGGTTAATTACATCATATTCCAGAAGTTTCCCAATTACAAATATCCCGAATTTTTCATTGCTTTCAGATACATTCCTTGGATGTCCAATACATTGCAAATGATATATTACTTAATAAGAAAATGTATCCGAGAGAGAATTTTTGTAATTTTTTAAAATAATAGACAATTTTAAAAATCATGATATCTTAAATTGTGTACTTGTATATTTATGTAATTTTTCCTAAAACAAATAGGATATAATAATTTTTTAAAATTACCATTTTAAAAAAGTTATATCTACATAATCCTCTCTAGAAAAGAACTCCTAATGTTATCACTTTAGCATTTGCCCGGCCACAAACATTGGTTAGACTTTCAGCCCAACCCAACAAAACTAACAGCCAATCCCTTATCTGTAAATGGGAAACTACACAAATTAGACCTAACAGGTAAAGTATTTTTCCAAATTGGACCCATTCCAATATATTTACTCATATTGGACCCACAATTCAAATTATTTACCTGGTTGCCCCCTTATTCTATTCATTGAACCGTTGTTGATATCATTGAAATATCTATATATTCTGATGATATCAAGCAATAATTGAGCAGTCTTTTCACTGAAACACTGTCTCTTCCTCCTTGATGTAATCAGAGTATATATATACTCTAATGATATACACGGAGTTACTGAGTAGTGTTTTCACTGAAGCACTACTTCTTCCTCTTTGATACCATTAGAGTATATATATATACACTATGATGCTATCAAATAGTAAATGCGAATTAGTAGTTAAAAACAAGGGGGTATGAAAGAGGTAGCCACTTGTAAATAGTTTTTTCTTTTTGGGATACAAGTGTTATTTTCCCTCTGTAAATTGTAATCCTAAATGTGTTTCTTAAGAGATTTTTGTGACTACAAATATATGCTCATTATGAATTAAATTTTTTATTTAATTATGAAAATATGTCAATTTTTCTATAATTAGTTAACTAAGGTCTTAGTTGGTACGAGAAATAAAGAATAATTAATTTATAATTAATTTTTGAATGAACTTATTCCATCTTTGATTGGAATACAATTGTAGAATAACTTATTTCGAAGTTATAGTACTTTCTCTGTTTAAAAAAGAATGACCTAGTTTGACTTGATAAGGAGTTTAAGAAAATAAACAAGACTTTTCAATCTTGTGATCATAAATTAAAGTTATTCTAAATCTATCAAAATGTCCTTTTATTTTGTGGCCTTAAACACGTCACATGGAAAACTGAAATTAAAGTGTTGCATAAAAAAGGAAAGGGGTCATTCTTTTTTAACAGACTAAGAAGAAAATATTTCATTTTTTAAAACAGATAAAATATTATTTTTATTCTATATTGAGAGTGGAATAACAATTTCGAGATAAATATTCATGTATACCATTTTTAAAAAGTTATATCTATGTAATCCTCTCTAGAAAAAAATCTCCTAATGTTATATAACACTTTAGCATTAACCCGGCCCACAAACATTGGTTAGACTTTCAGCCCAACCCAACAAAACTAACAGCCATTCCCTTATGTGTAATCCTTTATGTTTCTTATGATATTTTTGTGACTACAAATATATGCTCATTGTGATTTTTAAAAAAAATAATATGAAGATATGTTAATTTTTTATAATTAATTATGAACTTATTTGGTATGAGAAATAAAAAATAATTAATTTCAAAATAAACTTATTTGTTGGAATACAATTATAGTATTGTTTTATTTGAATGAAATAACAATTCCGGGATAACTTGTTCCTAACCAATTGTAAAGTAAAATCAGATGTCAAGTGTTTTTTTTTTTTTTTTGAAAAATTGTATAAAATAACAAACTATTAATTCAAATTAAATGTTATAGCCACGGTTTATTTAATTATAACCCGTAGCAAACAATTGTCATTCGCCTCTCTCCCCAGCGAATCTCGCTCGCCACTCTCCCTCACCTCTCTCACTTTATACAAACACAAATGCATAAATTGCGTTTGTGTTTGTATAAAACGAGAGAAAACCGTATCTGCAAATATAAATACATATATTTTCGTCACATACACTTATAATTATACAAATACAAATCTCCCCTACCAGTTGAAGTCTGCGTTAAAGCACCACACATAACTCATGTTGGTTAGGGTCAAGTCTTGAGTACAAGCAAACGGCTAACCAGTTGCCACATCACCTAATATTAAACTAAAATGTTTACATTTACATACACTTTATAGATATCACAGTCAACAGCATAGCAACTATACCTCCCAAAATTAAACACACTGAAAATAACCTTTAGCTACTCAAAAGAAAGGTCAAGAGCCTCCATTAAAGCTCTACAACATTTCTCAAAGGAGAATTCATCTTTGCAAAAATAATGAAAGCTTCATTGAAATTTCGAGAAAATCAAAATCCAATTGTCAAAGCCAAAATCCCATTAGGTTTTCCATTACGGTCTAGTATTGAAACCAGCACTAATGATGTCAAAGACAGAGATTTATGTTTGAGTTTCAGTACCTTTTTCCAATCCGGTCCGGTTCTGAAGCTGTTTTACCGGCCCAATGATTCAGACCGGCCTTTCGGGTTGGTTGTGAAAACCGGAGTCGGATCTTTTGGTTCTCCCATTGAAGCACCCATGACCATGAGTGCGGAGTTTAATTTTCTAGGTAATGGAAACCCTAGCTTTTTCATTCACTTTAAACCTCGATTGGGTGATTTTTCAATCCGGAGATCGGTCAATTCGAGGAAAATCGAAAACGACGACGTACAGAGCAACAATTTTGTCCCTAAGGATGATGAGAAGAAGAGCGGGAAAGTGACCTGGGCTAATTTGTTTGCGGCGGAGGGATTATTGGGTGGGGAAGTACACGCGAGAACGGTGTTTCCGATAGTGGATAAAGTGGTGGGGAAGATAGGATGGAGTTTGAAGTTTCCGGCGACGGGGAAAATGCCGTACATGGCGGTTAGCAAATTGGCGATCGAACACGTGTGGAAGGATAAGGCGAATTCGCGGGGGAATGATGGTGACGTGGCTGAGGCGTGTTTGGCATTGAAGAAAGAGCTGGTTGATTTGGAATCGGAGAAAGAGTCTTTATGGAAGGAGCTGGAGGAGATGAAGATGTCTACCGGCAAGTTTGTGCCGGCCGCCGGTGGTAGAAAGATGATGAGATTGAGAAGAATCATAGAGAGAGTGAAAAGTAGATCAAAAGCTGGTAGAAGTGGAGAGATTAAGAAGAGTTGTGCAGTTAATACTGTGTGATTAATGCCTTGTAATTGTCTGTTTGAATAACAACTAGTTAATTAATGATAACACGATCAGTCTCTCACTCGGTATATCATTTTATTATGAGCAGGAGATTTGTAGCAATCACGATTCGTATTACTCGTTATCGTAAATATTAGACACTATGAAAGATATAAAATGTTTAGGCAAAAAACCTAAACTAAATTAAAGTTTATGAGAAAGACAAGTTAATAAGTCAACATACTAAATTAGCAATACTAGTTATGATTGAAACTTGAATCATACCTATAGCTAATTCCAACAACTTGACATCAAAGGAGAAATTGGAGTTTGTCTTCTCGGTCGTCGAACTTGTTGTATTAGGTTTGCCTAGTGCTGGTTACCTCTTCAGTGTGGTTTGAGAGCTATTACATAATAATAGGGTTTACCTTGTGCACACCCAAAAAAGAATAACGACTGTTGATTTCGGAAAAAATTAAAAAAACTCTACTTGATCAATGTAATCTGAGTCTTTTATGGGCTGAAAGAAAACAAAGGCAAAACTAAACGCAGATTCACATTTCGTTTCCCCAAACTGGGCCTGGGCTAAGTTTCACATTCCCAAAATAAATGGGGGTAATTTACGAGAATCACTTTGGAAATGGATATTATAAATGGGAAAATTATATAAAATAGCAAATTATTAATTCAAATTAAATGTTATAACCACAGTTCATTTAATTGTAATTCGTAGAAAACACTTGCCGTTCGCCTCTCTCCCCAGTGAGTCTCGCTCACCTCTCTCACTTTATACAAACACAAATTTATAAATTGCGTTTGTGTTTGTATAAAACGAGAGAAAATTGTATGTACAAATACATAATTTCGTCATATACACTTATAATTATACAAATACAGATCTTCCCTACCAGTTCTCTTTTGCCTTTCGCTCTTTCTCGTTTTATACAAACACAAATTATACAAATTACAATGTAAAATTTGTGTTGTATAAAACGAGAGAATATACAAATGTTTTATTTCGATTCAGTTGTATACAAATTCAAATTTTATGCAGATATACTAACACAATCATTGATACATATTCATAGTAGTTACATATATACAATTATCTAACCGATATACATATACAATCGTTGCGCTTTTATACAAACGAGAGGCTGCCAGCGATTTATACAAATCTAATGCTTCATAGCAAACAACTATAACTATAACATATAAATATGAATTTTATGTTTGCTAAACCTAAAAAATTACTCTTTTTTAAACGGGCTATTCGCTCAAATATTTTTATGGGAAAATGTCTGATATATTTTTTAATTTTGTGATTTAAAATTAATAAAAAAAAGTAGCTTACATATACCCTTTGTGATCTAGGGTGATATTTATTTTTTCTCTCTTGAAATTGTTGGTTTTAAATTTTTACCCCTTGAGAGTTTTTAAGTAAAAAGAGACTGAAAATGTGCTTAACAGCAAGAAGAAGAAAAAAAAAATGACGCATAAGTTTAGTGACGCAGATTATCCTACGGTATAAGTTTAATGACATAAGTTTAGTGACATAAGTTATGCCCCAAAATAAGAGAAATTAATCCAGGACACTGGTTATGCCTCAAGGCAAGACAAAGGAAATTAAAACCAAGACAAGAGTTATGCCCCAAAACATAAGTTTAGTGATACAAGTTACTCCCAAAGGCATAAGTGGCACAAATTAGTGACACAAGTTATACCACAAGGTAAAAGTTTTCAATTATTTTTGCCCTGGGAATCAGATACTATAGAACTTATGTCTTAGGAAAAAGTTTCGCCCGATTATAATTAAAAAAAAGTTGACACACAAATGTTTATTAAGAGAACAGTAAGAGACAAAGGTTAAAATCATGAATTTGAGGGATAAAAATTGAAAATCATCTCAAAATAAGAGCTATCCGTACAAAAAATACTAATTGATGTTCAACTTCTGATCCTGTTTATTTCATAGATAAAACTTTAAATTTAATAAATTTTACCTTATGAATAAGACTTTCGATTCAAAACCTTAAAGATTTTCTAGGGCTAATAAGAACTAAAAATTTCAAAATCACTCATTTTCAAAACCATCAAAAATAATTTTGTGAAATACTTGGCAAGAAAAGAAGTAATTGTATTTTCTTTTTTCTTTGTAAATAAATGTTGTGGAGCCTATTTCCCACTGTCTTTCCTCGAATAAGGGAGGAAAAAGGAGCTGGCAAAAGGTCACTCACACTGCCTTTTAGTGTCCCACACTACTCCCATATGTAATCCTACATATTTTATTAATAATAATGAATTGAAATTAATAAGGTTACGTTGAATATGCGATATAAATTTTATTTTAGATTTATGTTTGGATATATGATTAGGGATTATGGTTCAAATTTTGAAATTTTCAGTATAATTGAGGGATTTAAAATCGTGATTTCGATGATTTAAATATAAGTTTATATTTGGTAAAAGAAGATCCGTTATTTTAAATTTAGCGAAAACAGGACTCCTGCTCGGATTGAAAAAGTTGCTCATATCATGTTAGGCAAGGTATTTTGATATCTTGTTTATGAACCATGATTTGTTTATTTGATAAGATTATATAAGAATTGAAAAAATTTGGATAGTTTTTTCAGAACTTAAGGAGGTTTTATATGTTTAGAAGAAAAAACTTACAACTTAAAAAAATTAAAAAATTAAAATTATATGTCCAAAAAAATAAATTCAACTTCATATCATAATAATTTCATATTGGATGTTCAAACGGACCCATAGAGAAAAGTTAATTTAGTGAAGAGGTATTAGTTTGTGTTTATGTGTATGTGAATAATCAGCATTGCCCATTTGCTTTTACTCAAGTCTATTTCTTTTAATTAATAGAGAGTTGAAATTTAAAATAATTTTACCTTTCAAACCAACAAAAAAAATTGAAACACCTAAAATTAAAATGAGAGGGAGACCTTTTTTTTTTTTTAAAAAAAGGATACTTTCTCCGATTCAAAATATGTCCACTAGCATTTAGCACTTATTCTTAATTATTAGTAGTATTATTTTTGATATTTTGATTAAATTGTCTTTAAATAAATTTACATATTATTCACTTGGCATATTGGGATCTGATCACTTAGAACTTGACATTAATAATATCATAGAAAATCGGACTAAGATTATATAAGCGGACATTTTGTTTTGAAACAGAAAATAAAATAAAATATTAAGTGAATATTTATAATTTTACTATGACTAATAATTTTTTTTATCACTTAATTATGTATATGTGTTATGTGAAGTTTGTAGTGCAACCTGTTATTTATTATAAGTTTAGTGAATTTTTATATATAAATTTATAATCCGGATTATAAGTATTGAATGTAGATGAACTTGTTGATTGAACCCTATATTTATCACTTTTTACTAGGTCAATTTAAATCAAAATAAAATTATGTCTAGATGTGTATTTTCAAACTCTAATTTTTCCAAATAGTAGCTAAATTGAATTGTTTAACCCATGACTTTAAATGTGATATACGTATACCAAATACAGACTTTTCATATTTTAAAGGAAACACTTTATAATCAACATATATAGAATGGAAAATAAGATATTCCCTTATATTCCATCCAGATACAATAATTTGGCAAGCTGAGTTTTTTTTTAAAACAAAATTGATAATTCAGAAATCAAGATGTAATTTAACAGTATTATTTTATTTTATTTTTTGAAAAATAATAATTCGTACTGTTTCAATTAGTGAAGTCGATTTAAAGTAATTAAGACTATTAGAAAGAGATAAATGGTAGTTAAATGGAAAAGAAACTTTTTTTATGATTAAGACATTAAAATATGCTGATGGTGGTGTAACCAAATCTTAAAAGGCAAATAAATATGATTCATATTCCCGAGTTATTTTTCAAATAAGGCATATAGACATTAATTAGTATTCCTGAATTTGTGAGGTAATATACACCTATTAAAGAAAATAATTAAGGACATAATTTAGATCATATTTTTCACTATCAATAAATATATTTGGCAATACTTTACTTTGTTGGGGTTATTTTTTAATTAGAAGGAGCTAACCAGGGTGGATCGGTAAATTCTTTTTTTTCATCTAAAATACCTCTAAAGTTAAACCGCTAACAATAACTCCAAAACAACTACTCTATTTTCTAAAACATTGCCATGTATTACAATTCCAAAAAATAACTCTGCCCAAGAGATAATTTGTCAAATCCAAACAGATGTTCAAGAGTTGGTGTGTGAGAGAAATTACTTGTTGAATAAAATAATATATTGATCATGCCTTTCTCAACTTCATTTCTTTCTTTCTCCTCACCCTTCTCTTTTGCATTTCTTGCCTTTCACCTTTTTTTTAAAAAAAAACTTTTGATATATTTTTCAAATCAATTTCGTAGTTGTGAAATTTATTTATCTAATTATTTTTATTTTACATACATACCTTTCAAATACATTTATTTTATTATAATTTTTTTTATAATATCAGAAATATAAGAAAGAAAAATAGAGAGAATATTACAAGATGTAAATTTAAATATTTACCAGCGAGATGATAATCTAAATAGTCAATCAATAAATTATTAAAATTTCTTATTTGATATGTGTAGATTATAAGATAAATTTTATGTAGTTATATCTAATACAATTATGTCGTTTTCATGTTCCTCCAAGACGTGAGGCCTACTTGTTCTACGATTTTATGCTCCTTTTTCTATTTTTCTTGAATATGTAGTCATTTACGTGTATATATTTTGAATTTCATAATTTTGGTGAAGTACTACACTAACTTGTTGTGCTTAAGCCTTTATTTTTTTTATATAAAAAATATGTAGTCTAAAATAAATAATGTTTTAAATGATCATTTAATTGGTGAAATAGATATAGTTATTTCAAGATAAAATTTGAGATTAATTATTATAAAAAATTTAATTTAAAATATTAGCTAATCATGAGAGTTTATTCTACCATTTATATTAAAATGGTAAAATTATTATCCTATATAGAAGATACAAAATGAGATAAAATAATCTCACAAAATATTTCACCATTTTATTCCAATATAGTATAAGATATCAAATATTAATGATAATTAAGAGGAAGACAAAAATTACTCTCATCAAATCAAATTCCACATACAGTTTGCAAAGAAAAAGTCAAAATTAAAGGCACAAATTAATATAATAATATACACATATCATGATATTGATATATTTGAAAATAGATAATATGTCAATATTAGAATATGAAGATTGCAACTTGAATGAAATTATGTATTCATTGAAAAAAAAAATATTAGAAAAGAAAATATTATAATTATTTGGCATTAATCAACTTTAAGTTTCTTCAGAATCGACTATTGTTTTATTATATATGGATATATTTATATAACTTGAGCTGAAGGATTGCAACTTGAGGGGAATTATGTATTCTTTGAAGTTGTCATAGTTTGTAGAACTTCTCTAAATTAATACTCGATAAATTAGTATTTTTTTTTACTTTTGATTTGAGTCAGTAATTGATTTTGATAAGATAATATATTTTTAGAAGACTTCTATATAAATATATGGTACTCTTATTACCATAAATTAATAATTATAAATTATAAAAATGTTGAAGTTAATTTAGTGAAATATGAATCTAGTGTGTTTTTTTTTAAAAATAAATAAATCTAGTCGAAGCTTATCTCTAACTTTTCTTATTGCATGTAAAATTTCGATGTTGTCTTCTCGGACTGCACCAAAAATAGTGAAGATTTTTAAACGTGATAAGTGTTCCCTTGTGTGTAACTGGTTCAAATGTATTTTATCCTCTTCAATGTAATCATCTACATTGCTTTCTTTGATGGCATCCACAATTTTTCTAAGCTCCGAACCTCTAAATATGTATCATTTTCACCCATATAATCTAATAGACCATTGGCATTCATTTTATTATGGTAATTCAATTGAGATTATTAATCATGACGTTAATAGTATTTCTACAAAATAATAATATTTTACAATTTCAATAATATAATATTAATTTAGATATATTTTACTGTAATTATGTTCTCCGTTGAGGATATTACTACTAATTCTCATCAAACCATTTAATGAATCCATTATTTTTTGGTTAAATTATATTTTTAAATAATATTTTCTTAAGAGTATTAATTGTACGGATAAAATGAGTAAAAATTAATTAATTTTATCTTAATATAATAAATAAACATGTGAAATAAATTATGGAGCAAAGTATTGAATTGCGACTTAAAGTGGTGTCAAATAGCACTTCTCTTTGTTTATAACAAGTTATTCTTAAAAGTAGTACAATTTACTCCCTCTATTCCACATTAATTGAATTTGTGAGGCAATCCACGCCTATTAAAAAAACATTTAAGGACATAATTTAAATCTTTAAAAAAAATAAAAATAAAAATGGGCAAGCCCTTTTTATTGATGGACTACATTACATGAAGATCAGGCCCAACAGAGGACCTGATCCAACACCTAATCAGTCATTAGGAAACAAAATATAAACAAAATAGAAACAAAAATGGAAAGGGGAAATGGGAAAATGGAAAGTGACTCGCCGTAACAACCATCGTCGTCGATGTCTTTCCGGCCATCCTCCAACAACTTGAAATCACAACAACAGTACAACGAATTTGGGGTGTATTTCATCTCGAACGTTGTCTAGTCTTACCAACGTCATGAAATCATCCCAATCGGAGATTTCTCCCGCTCAGTGTACTTCAATCGAAACTTCATGTCAGGTGATAACCTCATTCCCTTTGAATCTTTGTTCAACATATACCAAAAAAATGACCTCGTAACCTTCATCCCTTAGCTTTGACAGGTTGATCCCAACAAGGAGCTAATACCACTGTTGAAAGCTTCGCAACGAGGTTACTGCAGCATTCTTAGGTATTTTCCTTCATCTGAAATCTGCTCTTTGTCGTTTTACCATTGTCCCTCCGAATAAACTTGCTATTTTCGCAATCTTCAGAGTATTGTATGAATGTTACTGTTGCCTGTTTACGTATTTTCCTTGCTCTGTACTCTGCTCACTGTTATTGTACCTGTATATATATTTTCCTTGTTCTGTAATCGACTCACTGTTATTGTTGTCTGTTTATGTAATTTCCTCTTTCTGTAATCTGCTCACTGTTGTTGTACCATTGTCTCTCCGATTGTGATAAACTCACACTATATCCTCCATCTTCAGAGTATTATATGAATGTTGTATTTCTTTAAGCTTGAAATATCTGCTTCTTCATATGTTTTGATCACAATCATCTATCTTGTGCATAATTTCCATTCTGAATCCTCCTTATCCTCATATTAGGAATTTGGCCTTTATCCATATTTAGAATTGTCTTAGCTTCACTAGGTAACTCTTGGAAATTGTTATAATATATAAAATATGTACCTGCAAAAGAAAACACAATGTTAGCCATAAAATCTGCCAGTTTGTTTCCCTCTCTCAGTGTGTGTACTATGGCCAAACTTCCTTTCATAATCTGTATCCTTCTGACCTCCATAGTCACTTCCCAAGGTCTGTGCCAATCTCCTTCAATCATTTTCATTGCAGCTAAAGAATCAGTTTCTAGAATCAGTGGGAGTAAATTATGGATCCTACAATATTCCAGCCCTAGTCTTATAGCTACCACTTCAGCAATGAGATTGTTTGATATTCCAATCATATTTCCTTCAGCATACACAAGGTTACCTTGATCATCTCTAATACAAAAAGTAGAAGAGCTTGGTCCTGGATTCCCTTTTGAAGAGCCATATGTATTGCATTTGAATGTATTCTGTCTAGGTAATTTTCAATAAACCACCTTACAATCAATTCTAGGAGTATACCCTGTCAAATATCTGACCAATTCAGGCGAGTTATTAGGCAGGTGGTACATCCAAGGATACAACTGCCTAGCCAATAGAATTAAATTATTTGTTATCCCCCCTCTCATACTCAGATAAGACATAGAACCACTAAATTTCAAGGCACTTCTTCTCTTCCACACTTGCCAACAAATAAACAATGGCACAACCATTAAAACATGTTTAAGTTTTGCTGAAACATCTGCATTCCACCATTTATACAAAGTATGTTTAAGAAAGGGCTCTCTACACCTGCTGATCCTGCAAAATATCTCTATATAGAATTAGTGAATGAACATATAATAAATAAGTGTTCAAATAGTCTCCTGAACTCCATCATCACAACAACCACACACTACCCCATCACCCATCCTATTCCTGATAAGAACTTCTCCAATAGGAAGTCTTTGTTTCCATAGCCTCCAATTGAAGAACGATATCTTAAAAGGAATTCTTGCACTCCAAATATACTTATATTTTAAACAGACTTCTTGCTTCTCCCTTAGAAAATCCCATACAGAACCTACAGTGAATTTTCCAGAAGTCTTCAGCATCCACCATGGTTTATCCCATTGCTGTTCATCTTCTGAACTCCTCAAGAGTTACATTACATGTCTATTAATATCATCCCCAAAACTTGTTTGAAGCAAGTCATAGTTCCATTCCCCATTCAAAAAACACTATTTCACTTTATCCAATTGCACATTTCTAGCACTGTCTAGAGGAACTATGTAATGTAGTGCACCTAATTGTGACCAATTATCATACCAGATACTTGAATGGCCACACTTAGGTTCCCACCAAACAAGTTGATCTATCAAATCTCTAGCTTCCAGCATATACTTCCAAGTTAAAGATCCATTTTTCCATTCAACCACCTGAGGTCTCTCCTTTTTACAATATTTATTCCACATAAAGTTAGACCAAAGAGTCTTTCTTGTTCTAAAGACCCACCATAATTTAGCAAATAAAGCTGTAGAAATATCAAACAAAGATCTAAATCCCACACCACCTTCATGTTTGGGTTTACATAAATCTGACCAAGCTACCCAATGCATGTTATTTCCATCCTCCCTAAATTTCCAAATTTTTTTGCAAAAACTCTATGTAAATCATGACTAACACACCTTGGAGGATTAATAGCAGATAAGAGATAAATAGGTATGATGTTTAACACATTATGAATTAACACAACCTTACCTCTAAATGACAACATTTTTCCTTTCCAAGCTTGCAATTTGTTGTGCACTTTTTTCATCAATTCTGCAAAGTGTACCTTCTTCTTCTTGGCATGACCAACTGGGCATCCCAAATACCTTAGTGGAAACTTGCCTCTAATAAAGCCAGTTTTTGCTTCTATATCTAAGATCAAATCATGTGATATATTATGAAAGACAAAAAAAGAACTTTTTTTCTTTATTAATCATCTGCCCTGACTGCTTCTCATAATCTCTCAGAGTTGTCATCAATACATCTAATGAATTGGCATATGCTGCCGTAAAAATAATAGTATCATCTGCATAGGCAAGATGATTAATCTGATCACTCTATTTTGGTAATTCAAACCCCTTGTAGACCTCATTACAGAACAAAACATTTAAGCTTTAAGATAGAACTTCAGCAGTTAGTATGAACAAAGCAGGGGATAGAGGATCCCCTTGTTTCACTCCCCTAGATGAGTGAAATAAACCATTAGTCTGCCCATTGATAAATATAGAATACCAGTTGTTAGCAACCAGTCTCCAGACTTTATCAACAAAGTTATTATCAAAACCCATTTCTTCCAACACCTTTATAAGAAAGCCCCATTTCACCCTATCATATGCGTTTGCCATATCCAACTTGATCACCACATTTGCTGGCTTACCCCATTTTCTGATATCAATAATAATCTCCTGAGCAAGTAACACATTTTCAGTAATGCTTATTCCTTTCACAAAGCCAGACTGATTTTCTGAAATCAGGGATGGAAGAAGAACCCCGACTCTATCATTCATCACCCTCGAGATCACTTTATTAAGAAAATTACTCAAACTAATTGGCCTCATGTCTGAGAAAGATTGACAAATATCTTTCTTTGGAAGTAGGACCAAATTAGTATGTGTAATAGACTTAGGAAGGGTGACACCATTAAAGAAAGCACCAACCACATTAACCACATCATCCCCAACTATATCCCAACATTGTTGGAAAAAATGTCCCGTAACCCATCATGACCACTAGCACTGTCCCTATTGAGATCAAACACTACTTTTTTAACTTTCTCCATTGAAGGAAAATCATTTAATCTTCTGTTGTCTTCATCAGTAACCCTTTTCTGAATATGTCTCAATAGAGGGACTTCCTCCATATTATGAATGCCTGTGAATTGCTTCTGAAAATACTCCTGAAATAACGTTCAAGTTAGGAGAGTATTTTGCATCTATCACAATGAATTGTGCATTAGTAATAGTCTGAGTCACATTCCGACCCCGAAAAATGTTAGGATTGAAGTTTGTTTTCCTAACATAATGTAATTCCTAGAGAGTTTGCTTCCATCTCTGTTAGTGTAACACTAGAGGAACTAGCAAGACGAATGGTTATGTAAAATACTATTTAAATATGTGATATATATCAAGTTTGTATCATAAAGTAATAAAGTGTATTTCTTGAAGAAATGAACGATCAGTCTTCCATAATACTCCCTCCGTTTCACAAAGAATGACCTCCTTTCCTTTTTAGTCAGTTTCAAAAAGAATGACCTCTTTCCTTTTTTGGTAACATTTTACTTTTTGCTTTCCACGTGGCATGTTTAAGACCACAAGATTAAGGGCAATTTTGTACATTTGACATAACTTTAATTTAGGACCACAAGATTCAAAAGTCTTCTTTATTTACTTAAACTCCGTGCCAAGTCAAACCAGGTCATTCTTTATGAAACGGAGGGAGTACCTTGTTAGCAGTAGAGGAGCCACCTTACAATTAGGGGTTCATCCAAACCCTCTTCGGCTGAAAGTTATGATTTATATATAGTTAAAATAATTTTTTAGGTATATATAGTAGATGTCGAACCCCCTTCGACTACTTCGTGTATCTATTTTTTCAGATTTTAAACCCCCTTATTGAAAATCCTGACTTCGCCGCCACTGCTTGTTAGTATATTATATATACCTTGTGGATATCATAGATGTTTAATAATTATTTTCTTATGAAATGAATCAATCTTCTATAATATTATATTTGTATATCCAACCTATCAAATATATATAATAATATATTACAAAATATACTTCGATTACCACTAAATTGAATAAGTTATTTTTAAATAATTGTTATACGAAAAAAATAATGTGTACTATATCATTTTTTTAATTAATATAAAAAATCAAAAAGATATGTAAAATTAAATTATGTAAAGATAAAAAACAAAAAAAAAACTAGGAATTCAGAACTGTTTAAGTCAAGAATTACTCTATTTCCAACCTGAATAGAAATGGTTTCATCAGTGATTATTGAATTATCTTTTTGAATGATTCACAAATGTGATAAGTGATAACGAAAAGAAAAACACAAAAGTATAATAAAGAACTAAGTTGAATAGCAAAAATAAAAATTGATATGATATCATAAGAATATTTTTAAAATAATAATATTTATGTTTATTAAAAATATTATATACTAATTTACTACATTTATACAAGTATATATCTAAAATTTATCAATAAATAAATAAAACAATATCTATTTTATACACTTGTCAAATAATTAACAAATCTACTATTAACAATTATAACAATTACTTATTATATTTCATCACGTGTCTCTCTCATGCAATGATTGAGAAGCTTTCAATTTTCACAATTAGTTTTCTTTAAATCTGAAAGACTAATATTTTATCACGTAATTTTTAATTTTTTATTATATTTTTATGTCTTTTTTTGAATATCATGTCAAAATATTTTACATTGAATATAGATATATTTGTAAATATAATTCGACTTTGATCTTGTTCGTCTCTTGTTTTTGTTCATTACTTAATTTATTTTTTTCTTCAATTGATTCTACTATAATCGTAAATCATAGAAACTCGATTATCAACTAACAAATATATAGTTAATATCTAAATAACTTGATTGATAATATCAATATTACACTAAATATCTTTATTCAGTTGAATCAAGTAATAAATCAAATAAAATAGTATAAAATCTTTTAAGAAATTATAATTTTAAATCTTAAACATTGTTTCTAGATATTTGATTTTACAAGGAAACAAACAAATATGTTTAGAATATATATATATAAAATTTAGATTTTCCTTTCATATTATTTTTCTTAATAATTTATACAAAATATACATGTGCAGGTACATTCTCGAAAATTAATAGTATTGAACTATTGATAGATTTTTAATGGGTATATAAAGAAAATAACTTATTATATAGAATAACTATTAGATTGTAACTATAATCTTATGATTTGTGCACAGTTACAAGGGGCTAGTTTCCTATAATTACTAATTTTGAGAGAAACGAAAGTTGCGTATTGTGATTGTAGCTACTGCTGAATAACACTTTTAGTTAAATGATACTTATATGAAAGAAGAGTCGAAAATGCCCCTATATCTGACGTAAATTATTAGTTTCATTTTGAATTATTGACAATCTTAAAAACACCCCTTAATTTGACTAACTGAAGCTAAATACACCTCTGATCTTGCAACATTAGTAAAATACACCCCTAAATTCTCGTCAAGTTTAAGAGTGTATTGGGGGTGTATCTAAGTAATTAGTTAGTCAAGTAGATGGTATTTTTAAGGCTGTCAATGATTTGAGGACAAAACTAATAATTTACGTCAAATTTAAGGGTGTTTTTAATACTTTTCTCGAGCTACATTAGAATCTAATAATTGTCCTAGCTACTCATTTTGACAATATGCTATGCATATCTTCAACACTACTTTGAAGTTTTATACATTAAACATTATTATTTTTCTATTTATTATTTTATATCCTCACTTAATTAAGGTACTAACTTCTTTCTTTTCTTAGAAACTCTCATATCTTGAAAGTTTATACAATTTTCTTATGGCAAATTCAACCCAAGTGATACTAAAAATGGACTAAAAATGTTTTTCAATATATCTATACCTTTTTTGATGAGTAAAAAGGGCAATGTAGTCACATAACCTCATAAATTAACATTCTCAAATATAATTCAATGAATGTCAATACTTCAAAAGTAATTTATTGTGGAATCGAAAGTAACTATTAAAATTATAACTATAATCTCGTAGTTTGTGCTAGTGTACCATAAGGAATCAATGTACTCTTATTTTTATTGGAAGAGAGATGAGGTTTACGTACGTAATATAATTGTAGTTAATGTGAATTTTTTTTAAATTGAAAATCAAGGTGATAATTATGTTAGTTAATCGCTTTAATGTTATCTTGTGCGACGTTATTTTAATAGTTTTTTCCTTTAAAATATATATTTTTACATTCTTACTCGATCATAGGCAAACTAAGATTTGAAGATAATGGAACCCCTTAAAAGGCAAATGCACAATAATTGCATCTTATCGATTCATCCGTCAATTTTATTAAAAATACAAAGAATTAATATACTAACGTATAAATACGAATCAATTGACTTTAATTGACAAACTTACTTTGTGTGGTTATGATTGTAGATACTACTATGGGTCCATGAGGCTGCGTGTTCGAAACTTACTTGACCCTCTAATTTTATGTCAATTTTAAGTTTTTATTTATCATATAAAAATGAGAAAAAAAACACCAAAAAGTGAAAAACAAGATTTAATCTAGATGGATCAATACAATCATTGATTTCTCTAATCCTAGACGTGAGATTTCTACATGGTATCAGAGCATAAAAGCTCTTCCGCTCTCTGAGTATTAATAAAAAAAAAGATTTAATCTAGATTATTACAGTCGAAAAGAGTTTTGTGTCTTAGGATATATGATCGCATAATTTTTCTACCAAAATGAGGCATGTATTCTTATTGCTAATCTTGAATAATTTTTCTACCACAATGAGAAATGTATTCTTATTGCTAATCTTGAAAGAAAAATAATATATGGCTGAAGATAATGTTGAAATAAATATTTTTTTAATTGAAAATTATCGTAATAATTATGTTAATTGCTCTATTTGACAATACCTTATATATGCCTTTGGCGTTACTTCTAAAGCGTTTTTTCTTCTTCAATATATATATATATATTTATTTATTTTCGTTATGAATTTATTTATCTGAAAAAATCATAATATAATTATTCTATGATGAATTCGTCATATGATACACACATGAAAATACTTTAAAGATTATATAGACATCACTAAACGCATATGTATAATAGTTGAAGCATGTGGGTCATCCGATAATTTTATTAAAAATACATAAAATAAATGTATAAATATAAGTTAATTGACTACAATTAGTAAATCTTTGTGTTATGATGGTTGTGAGATCTCTTTGCATCCTGAAGCTGTGTGTTCGAAACTTGCTCCCCTATTTTGTGCAATTTCTTAATTTTTATTACTAAGCGAATTTGCCGTACAAATAATTTTCTTATAGTTAATCTGGCGTACATATTACAATTTTCTTATAGTGAATTTGCCGTACACATACAATAATAATAATAGATCTTTCAATATTTCTTCATATTTTCTGATGAGAAAAGGCTAGTGTAGTCATATAATCCTAAGGAGTAATTGATAAATATTTTATTATTGAATGGGTCAATATTTTGAAAATTTATTTATCGTTAATTTGTAAATTATCTACGCTCTCAATATAATTTTTATTGATAACTCGTAATTGAAAATTATTTTAATAATTATGTTAGCTACTCGTTTTGATAATATACCTAACTCATGCATTTGTTGGAGCTTAGTTCTCCTTTATATACTGAAAGAGACAGAACATAATTATTTTATTTTATATTTATATTATATATTATATTATCCATCGATTAATATAAGAATTTTCGTTGGAAGTTTTTTTTTAACCTTTGAAATATCATATAATTTTATTATGACGAAT